GGCCGGCTGGCTGCCCTGCGCACGCTGTGCTTGGAAGCACGGGGAGGCTGCGGGGAGTTAAACGTTAACATGGGTCCGTTCCTCTAATGGTGTCTTAGCTAAGAATACTGACGGATTAGGCGTGGGTCCCAGACCACGTTTCGTCTTCCAGTACCTTCTTTCCTGTTACACGGATCTCGGCCAAGCATTTCAAAGCCAAGCCTTTAAAACCATCAGGCTGCATCTAGAAACGACCGACTGACGGTGCACAGAACGTCAGCCAACGAAAAGTGCAGCGCCCTGTCGTCAATCCAAAAAATTGAAAGGCGGATACTTACTGGAAATGTGCGTTGTTGTTGTTGTTGTTATTATTATTAGAGACTTCCCTTGTACTGCTGCAGTACTTGATCACTTCTATCATTTTAATCTAAAAAGTGGACCTGCTGGAAAATCATACAGCAGTGCCAGTCGGTATGTTGGTCTGGCGGGAAGTTAGTTGCCCTCTGGCGTGGGGGGTGCAGGGCGTAGGCTTGCCGGAGCGAAGAACTGAATGAGGGAAGCTGCTGCTGAGAAGTTACAGAGCAGAAAGGCCGGTTCCCGTCGTGGAAGTCACCCGGTACTTCTCGGTGTCATACCCTGCTTTCAGTCCCGAGGCTTCGGTTTGACCGAAACCGCCTTCCATGTTGAACGTCTGCTTCGGATTACGTCTTGGAGAAAAGGTCACGCAACAGCTCTGCCCGTCCTCAGAGGTGAATAAGGGTGAAATGGAAATCACATTGCAGAAATTAGTGAGTTTCAGTATGAAATCTGTGTAGCTTCTTACCCCCTTCAAAACAATTAGTAAAAATTACACTGTAACAGTACACATGAAATGCTGGTATGGACAACCATCCTATCTAAGTCCATTTCAGCCACTAGGATAGGGAAAAATACATCGTTTGGAGCGTGCTTTGCCTTGTAAAGCTCTCACTACTTTAAGCAGAACCTTGAAATTAGGTGGAAAAATACCACTCGTACGATAGATGTCTCACTGAAGACAGCCGCCTTCCAAGTCTTTGAAGGGCTCGTAATTCAGACGTTTCCAGCAATTCCTTCAGGATTTCAGCAGCTGGGTTCCTTGAACATTTGTCTGTAACCGGCAGGCTGCCCCACGCCCGCACAGGCCACCCCGCTACTGTGTGACTCACGAATGCCCAATCCACGCAGAGCTCACGTTTCTCCAGTGACCCCCAGCCACGCTAGCAGCGACCGGGAATTCAGGCAAGATCATTCCAGCTATACCGATTAAAAGATTAAAAGCTTGGTCTAATTATGAGCAGACCGCCGATCTCCTAGGCTGGAGGTTCATCAGCAGGCCACCTCACCGAAGTTATGTCGCAAGTAGTGCGGTAGAGAGGGAAGACAGAATTTTGTTCACGTCCCAAAAGGATGCTCGACAGCAGGCGTCAGGTTTGGCATACTTGAAAAGCACCTGACGTAATGCGAAGCTCCTGACCTTTTATGAATCTTTTATCTAAACTATATTTTCTTAACAGATTTGAATCAGGTACAGTACGCGAGGCAAGAACACACGCTAAAGTAGAGATAAATCAAAACACAAAAAGCTACCTGTGAAAATAACCCAAGTTGAGCAGCAACAGGGATCCCCCGGCATAAATACTATGTATCAAAGCAGCCTAACGCTCAGGGCAAAAGAGGCTGCGTGTTGGATGTTACACAGTGGGCGCAAAGGCTTCTCCGATGTATTTTATGCAGCCCTGCTGATAAAAGTATTAACGTTGTTGAGCAAAAGCTTTGTGAAAAAACGTCCCTGCCTGGTATGGAACACGCCAGTGGGAAGGATGTGAAAGAAGTACAGCGTGCGTTCAGCTGCTCTCGGAGCTGCCAAAAAAGCGTCCGTGTTTGCCAGACACCACCCGGCAAATACAATGAGTAGATTGACTTTCTGGGAGGAAATATCTGACAAAGATGTATGGAATGGAAGACAAAGAACAAAGTATTTCATTTTGATAGAAATATGTTTGCCATACTTATTCAGAGTTGGTCTAAGTGTTCGGAATGGACTGGAACGATCCAGTAATTTCAATACGAGAGGGCCTGAATAGCCCAATGCATTTCAAGATGAATAAGAATCATTGACTCTTTGGGTGTAAGCCAAGAGATTTAACTTGGTGATGGAGGCATCTGATCTGATGAGGACAAAGTTCTGTCTAACAATGTTTTGGCGTCTAACAATGCTGTTTGCTGGTTTTCCTGTTTCCCATGACTATTTTATATTTACCTATTTAAGAATACGGTAATTTCCCTTTTCCCCTCAGCCTTATAATACAGCATAAAAATGATTTTTACAGGGAACACTCAAACCGTAGGCACGTACAAATTACACTATAAAAGTGCAATATCGTCTGGCAGATATATCTGGCTATTTGAAAGGTAGTTTTAAAGGTGAAAGACCTCTTCGGAGAAACCGCTGGAAGCCCACAGACAGAAGCAACTTTGCAGAGCCTGACTTCTAACCAGCGTAGGCAGACGCGTCACTTCTCAAGGACTTCCCCTGAGGGCTATCCCTAGCAGGCGCTACCTGCCGCCGGTACACCCCAG